CGTAAACTTGCTGTGAGCGCTCTGGGGTCGCTCTGCTTCATGGATAATTCCGAGGCCAGGCTTTAGCTCGGGCATTGCCTCCTCTGTCGGGCCGGGGGGGTGCGAGCTGATGGCTGTTTGCTGTCAGCGTTAGGCCATAAACAAGCAGTATAGAAAGTTTGCTTAAGAATTTATTTTCCAAATGCTTATGCTTTGTGCTGAAAATAAATGTGGTAAATACAAACAGATGAAACTTGCGAGATTTGTTTTCAGTGTTGGGTGTGCTTGGAGAACAGCCGGGAGCTGTAATAAAAATTCTGCTTTATTTTTAGTTAGCTTTTATTTGTTTTTCAGATTTATTTTTAAAAAATTAAGTTTATTTAAAGATTCCCAGGTTGTATATTTTAAGCTGAACCTGTGCAGAGATAGCAAACGTGGTGTTTTGTGGTGGAGAGGCTGTGTAGCTCCTGGACGATAACAAATTTTAGATTTCATCTGGCCGGTGGGTGCTGTGTACGGGAGCTGGCTTGGGAGGTTTTGGTACCTGTTGTGGGTGATGCAGCCCAGCCTGCCAGGAGAGAGGGAGCTGGCTCGGGAACGGTGATGAATGCCCTTCTCCCCTGCCCTGCTTGAGATATAATTAAATACCAGGGAAAGTTACCTTCCAAAATTTGTAAACTGGGTACTTTAGTAATTCTTATGCTCCCTTACTTGCCAGGATGGGTAACAGAGCTGGAGACTGTGTTCAGGGATGTCTGGTGCTGTAGTCTGGTTCTGAGTTGCATGCAGGCAGGCAGGCAGGCTTACCACTTCATCCAGAGCTTTAAAAAATACACCTTCTTGTTACCAGTTACAAACAAACAAGCAAAACAGAAACAAAACCAGTGGGTTTGAGAAAGATGCGGCACATGTTGGTTTCGTAGCTTGATTTGCTGTGCTTTCGTTCTCGGAGTGGCTAAACCAGGTTCACCAGGCTAATGATTTAGACTTTTTTTTTTTCCAAGCTGTTATTAAAATATCCTTGCTGCGCTAACTTTGAATGCTTCTGATCTTTTTATAGCTGATGTTAAAGTAATGGATTCCAAAGAATTGCTTAACTCGTCGGATCAAGACGACACAAGGAAAAATGTGCTCATCAGTACCAAAGGAGGGATCGTGATGGACTTTCATCCACCCTTCAGGGGTGGAGCTACTGTACAAGCCCCTGTGTCTACATCTCCGCTCCCTGCGTCTTCTCAGTCAGACTCCAATCAGCAACCTGCTTTGGCTGACTTCTCGAAAGGATTAGTAAACAATGTGCCTCAGCCAGACCTTTCCAAGGCAGTATCGCTCTCGATGGGACTGTACATGGGTGAAACAGACGCAAAAGTGATGGGAAATGACCTTGGATTTTCGCAGCAGGGCCAAATCGGCGTCTCTACTGGAGAAACGGACTTCAGGCTCCTGGAAGAAAGCATTGCGAGCTTGAACAAGTCCTCGAGCCTGGCCGAGGACGCAAAGGGAGCAATATCTTCTGAGGTGCCGCTTGAGCCGGATTTCCCAGGCATGGCTGGCCGCAACGCCCCTTTAGAGTCAGGAACTGCAGTCCAAAGCCAGGTTGGCTCAAATGGTGGCAACTTGAAATTATTCTCTGAAGACCAAAGCACCCTGGATATTCTCCAGGATTTAGAATTGCCACCGGTATCGCCTGGCAAAGAGCCCAATGGCAGCCCGTGGAGGCTCGACCCGTTGCTAGATGACGGTGGCTTGCTGTCCCCTATATCTGCAGATGATGCATTTCTCCTGGAAGGAAATCTCGGTGAAGACTGCAAGCCTCCTATTTTATCTGACACTAAACCTAAAATTAATGACCGTGGTGACCTTTTACCCAGTTCCAAAATGCCGATGCCTCAAGTGAAAACAGAAAAGGAAGACTTCATTGAACTCTGTACTCCTGGCATAAAGCAAGAAAACATGGGCCCAATTTACTGTCAGGCAAACTTCTCTGGGTCTAACCTGCTGGGTACTAAAGTCTCTGCCATATCTATCCATGGTGTCAGCACCTCTGGGGGACAGATGTATCACTATGATTTAAATACTGCATCGCTCTCTCAGCAGCAAGATCAGAAACCAATTTTTAATATCATTCCATCTCTTCCTGCCAGTTCAGAAAATTGGAATAGGTGCCAGGGATCAGGGGATGAGACGTTAGCTCCTTTGGGGACGCTCAACCTTTCTGGCAGAGCTGGCTTCTCTAATGGCTATTCAAGGTAATTAATTTTTCTTGCTCTTTATTAAAATACTACAAGTATGTTTATCACAACTGCATGCATGCTGGTTTGGTTTTATTTTCTCCTTTGGAAGCCATCCCTTTTTCATTTGTTACGTGTGGCTGTCTGGTCGGGCATCACTGGTGTGTATTTGTTCCGTGGTACGATGGTGGCTTTAACCCGGCACTCAACTCTTGGTATTAAAGGGAAGAAAAGAGGAGGGGAGCTGGCATGCTTTAAAAAAGAAAGACAGAAAAATTCAGAGATACAACCTAGGTGGAAAACTGAGTACGTGGTGGAAGGATCCATAGCAGGCAGTCCAGCAGGAAGGCAGTATAGAAGGAAGTATTTAGGTGTATACACATTTACTTCATTCTCAAGGGTTAGAGAATCAATCACAGTGTTGAGGTTTTTTTTTCCTCTTAGTGTTACTTGAGTGTTATGCACAAAAATAACTTGGTTGCTGGGTAAATTGCTAGAATTACTTTTGAGCTGAACTAGAGTTTTAGCTTTGCTTGGTATTGCATTTACCTTACATGGACAAGGAGGTTCTGAGTAGGAAATACTCAGCAGTTTGTTGAATAACTGCATTTCAAGAGATAAGAGTATTTGCAGTAAGGTTTAAACATACCTGGAATTTAACTCTTAAATAGGGCTGGAGGGGGGCTCGCTTGCAGATGTTTTTTTTGAGAGCAAGGAATTTTAGGCGAGCTGGTTAGTGTGTATTTCCAGTGAGTTTGCAGGAGTGTTTCTACAAGGAGGTCAGTGGTGCGGATATTCGAGTCGAGTGCTTTTCCTCTGCCCCTGAGGAGTGAGCGTGATGGTGGCAGCTCTCTCAATGGGCAGCTGTGACCGTGCTGGCGGCCGGGGCCGGGTTTGATTGTGGTGTGAACACCTAGCAGTGGGTTTTCCTTTGCTGTGCTTTGTTTAGCACAGACTCGCACAAGCACGGTGGCTGGGCTCGGTGGAGAAGGAGGGTTTTGCTGTGTGCGTCCGTGGAGCTTGACTTAGAAAATGGCTCTTGGGTCCCTATCCGTAAACCGAGGCATTGTAGGCTTTTGATGAAGTATCTGGTTTAACTTTCTTTTTTTATTGCCTCGCTGACAGTTCATCCCCGGAGTGTTAGCTGCCTCTCCGGGGGCTCTCCCTGTGCGGTGTTTGCTCCGTTTTCCATGGAGGAGTGAGGGGTGTGAGGGTTGCTGCTTTGTTTCAGGGAGACAACTTTTAACTTGCTTTCATTCTAGATTCCTTTCGTAGCCTTTGATTTTCATAGTGGAGATGTGGGGTTTTTTTTTCTCTGAACAGTTTAAAGCAATCTGTAAGGAATCGAGAAAGGAAAATCCGAATTAGTGGATAAATTCCACTTTGCTATATGAATATTGAACGGGCCTTATCATTTATTTTTACAGAGTAGGAATCCTTTGTACTGACCTTTTGCATAATCTGTCCAGCTTCCACGTTGTTTGTAGTTTCCTGCATGGGGTTTTTTGGTGGGGTTTTTTATTTTGCTCTCTCTATATCTTTGATGGCAATCATCATAAAATCTGCACCGAAGCAAGAAGAGCTCTTTCTGGGCTTGGGAGGCGGATTTCAGTGGCTGTTTAAGTAAGCAGATTCCTCGCAGATAATGGAAGCATCCCTTTTGAGAATACTTCTGTGAAGTTCATGCGTTGTTTTTATTTCACAGAACTCTTGAGGTAGAACCAAGCGCGTTCACAGGTGAATGGTTTGTGCAGAGATGTTTGTCCGGCTTTTGGGGAGTTTCATACACAGCGATGTCGCAGGCTGTGCTGCTGATCGCGTTGTGACGGAAAACCCACTCAGGCTACTGATGTGTGCAGAATAAAGGGGACGGCAGCGTGAGATGCTGTCGCTGCTTTGATGCAGCAGGTTTGAGGAGCGTGCTCCGTGTGTCTGTGCAGGAGCTGGGCAGGCAGCGGCAGGCGTGGGAGCATCCTCGGCGTGGTGGGCAGGAGGCTGCCGGCACTGCTGGGCGGTGGAACAGCGTTCCGCTGCAAGTGTTTGCGTTCTTGCTTCCTGCAAGGTTGTTGCATACTTTATTATTGTTTTCTTTTGCCTTAAGATAATGGATATTTTTTTCTTAATTTAAAGAATGTGTAAAGAATTTTGCGGTGGCTCCTAGTTGAGTTTTCCATAAAAATTAATTATTTCTAGCCTTTTTGGAGGCTGTTCTTAATTCCCAAGGATTTTTACACATTAAAACCACCCAGTCTAATTCTAAAAATAACAGTTTGGGTTTGCTTTATTATTTTTTTCTCCCATAAAATAGAGGCAACTCCATCTTCTTTTTTAAACATTTGAGATACTAATGAACCCTGGGTTTGAAGCAGGAATTCTTTCTTCCTGAACCTTGTCAGAAATATTTGGTCTGAACTGGGTTAGTTTAAGGTGAGGTATTCTGGATTTGTTTGTTTACCTTACAGAAGACTTAACAAAATTGGCATTTGTTTCAGAAACAAAGGAAGGACTGTCTTGCCAGGTTCCTGTGGTCGGTGCTTTTTTTTTTTTTTCTTTTAGGTACTGATTGAGTGAGGTGGAGACCGGGATTTTCAGAATTGCTAAACTTGAGTTTCCAATAGGAAATATTCCTTGGTGTCAGTGGAATTATTTGCCTATCGCAACGTATTAATTGTATACTGAACATATGGAGGAAAAGCTGCAGCTCCGTCCTCCTGCTCAGGTGGTATTTAATCCGCTGTTTTAATGAAAAGCGTGTCATGGCTCTTTATAGACACACAGTCTTGAATTGATGGCATGCCATTTTTGAGTGATTTTTGCTTCTAAGGATAGCACAGCGTGCTGTCTTTAATGAGACAAGCGATAATCAGGACTGAGAAAACTAATCCATTTTCCTAGGAGTGGCGGGAGCTGTTCTGAAGTTAACAAGCAGAATGCGAACTTCAGGGATTTGTTTGATGTGAACGTATCGGCGATAGTCAATAAACTGCCGGCTGTATCTCAGGGCTGTAGGAGGGTCTGCCGGTGCTCGTGCTGATGTGCAGAACTTGGAGCTGCAGCTCAGCGTTGCCGCGGCTGATGCTCAGAACCTTCTTGAGCAGCAGCAGCAGAACTGCAGACGGTAGGACAGCTTCGGGCTGGGGCTGCCTTGGCGAGGTCTGCGTGATGAGCGAGCTGCCCATCCCTACGGAGAAGGTGGAGAGAATAAGAGGGAGGAAAAAAGTAGGCTAACTGAGATGATTTGCCTTCTATTTTCTTTAGTAGAAGAAGCGAGACAGCATCTGGAAGAGGAATGAAAGGGCTGAAAGGGTTTGGTGGTCTCTGTCTCTGATGGGATATTATTTGTGATTTATTACACAAACGCCAGTGAAAGCTGTTAAATTTCAAGGAAATTATTTTAGCAACGCACACCCGTAGGACTCGTACATGGTATATACATTAAATCCATCGCTCACTTTTTTTTTTTATTCCTCCGACTTCCTGGAGATGTGGCTTATTGTGGGGGAGTGAAGGGCGGCGGGAAGCGCCGCGGCAGCGCAGGGGTTTCTGTGTGCTTTTTCTCTGCGCCTACAGCCAACATTTACAAAAACTGGGCCCCACTGGCAGCGTTAGGGCTTCTCTTATTACATTTGAAATCGTTCCTAGTACTTAAGCTTGTGGGGGATAAGGATCATTAAGGAAGTTTAAGAAAGGGCAAGAGCTGAGAGCAGCCACGGAGGAGGAGGAGGAGGATCTGGAAGGGGGATGGATTCTGCTGGGCAGCTGCGGTCCAAAGCCTTGCTTGCAGGAGAAGTTGCCTTTCTGCCGTCACTCTCTAACGGGGATTCTTCTTGGACTGGGATGTTTTACTAGAAGGAAGGAGGAAAAAAAAGTGACCGTGTGGTAGAAATGGTAAAGGTCAGTTGTCCGTTTGTCTTACGGCATTGTTTCAACTTGGCTTCTGGCCAGGGCCCGCGGCTTGGCTCGGTTGGATGTAGTGCTTTAAATGTTGTCTGACTCAGCAGTATGTAATGTATGGCACATATGGAAATATGTCTTTTTTAATAATTCTGTTTTGATATAAAAACCAGACTTGTTATTTGGAGGGAGCGCTCAGGGTTTCAGTAGTCTGTGTTGTGATTTGTCAGTTGAATGTAATACTGTACTTGGATTTGGAGTCTTGGAAATACACGACAGAAAACCTAATTGCTTTGGCAGGAAGGGATGAATCAGGAATGTCCTGCAGAATGTGCTGCGAGGCACTGTGAAAAGGTGGCTAGATAAACGACAGGTCACATAAGACGTAATCCACTTTTTCCAATTTTAGCTGATCCATTCAGCTGGCTGACAGCTGGGTAGGTTTTTATAAGTCCAGCCCAAATGGTTAGTTTCTGCTAATTCATTTCCCCACACAATGACCTCTGGTTTAAACCTAGCTCTAGCTTATAAAACATAAGTTGATTTTTGTTGCCCATTGCATCTTTTTATCCATCTTACATAATGGTTGAACCCCATTGTACTCCTCTGCTGGCGGCGAAAGCAAAACTGTAGTTGAACGAGCTCTGCTCGCGCATCTTCTCATCAGTGTGAAGTCGACGCATCACGCAACATTACGTTGTATGTTTCCTCTGTTAAGGGTTACTTGTACCCAGCAGGTGGGCTTTAGGGGGCTTCCTCTGGTTTTTTATTATTTTCTTACATGTTGCCTAGCTTCAAGTAGTAAAACCGTGGAGGAGGAACCTGGCACTCTTGCCTTGGATGCAGCATTCGTACCAAAGTTTGGCAGTGTGCTCCACTTTGTGAAATGGGGTACGTTGTTTCTCTTATTCCCACACCAGATTCGGTGTCTCTGTCCCCGAGCGCTGTTGGCGGGGGCATAGGCTGAGCCTGGCTGCGTTTCCAAGGCAGGTGCTGCTGTTGTAGCGATCACAACTCGGCAGTTAGTCCAGAGGGGATGGGAAAGGCAGTGCTCCGGCCGGCGTGTGGCTGGGCTGGGGGGAGGACGCCTTCACAACCCTCCCCTGCCCCGTTCGGAAGGTGTA